TTCGCCAAGATCAATATCTGAGCATGCGTAAACTTTTGAAACTCGCGAGTGCCAAAAAACCCTTTGGAAACTCTTTAAATATACAATAAAGGGGGTAAGTTTCTAAAGAAACTGCGGTGCTGCGTCGGTGGGAGAGTCTAACAGGGTAATTTAGTACTACCAGGTGAGTTGAAAACGTAAATTGGCCACCGTAAAGAGTTTCAAAGCCTAAATTTCGAGCGTTAGCCCTTTGTCAGAGCGGATGATGAAGGGCTAACGCTCGAAACGTCAGCTTTGAAACTCTTTCTGGTGTCCAATTTACGTTATCAACTCAGTTGATAATAGCAAATCACCCTATCTTTAAATATCCGTACAGTCTTGCGATTTTCGTATCAGCTCGTGCGCATTCCTTTATTATCGACGGTTCTTTAAGATTCGGTTGAAGTCCATTTTTTAAGTATTTGAGAAAAAGTATGTAAAAGACCTTAACTAAAAGAGCTTGCAGGCATTCAACATTGCGTTCGCACAGAGCAAGATTTACAACAAATTTGCGTTCGAAGGCCCTCTATTTCAAGTTGGATACACAAGTCAGCTAAGAATCCCTTATAGGAAACAGAGCATAACAGCTCTTAGCTTCGTCATTCAATAGTTCAAGAATGCATGGGAAGCAGTTTGAAGAAAGCCGCTCTTTAAATGTACTGAAACAAAAGTGTAACTTCATTGTATAATCTCTTTCACTTAAATCTTACTTACTGAGTAGCTGGCTTTACGTTGAGAGTTTTCAGCAACAAAGCCACTAGAGGAATCAGAAAAAAAGAGATGGTTTTGAGGCTCCGTTACTTTTGCTTTCATGAAGCGCTCGAAAAACCACTGGCGATAAGATTTCCGCCTCTTGTGCTAGCTTTGAGTAAAGTTAGGAGCTTTGTTTTGTGGCCGTTTTCCACTTTCATTTTGCCACATTCAGTCTTTTGCAAGTGGCCCGTTTTCCTGATTTCACGTTAAATCAGCAACAACGTCCACTTCGCAAAGTCTCGTTTCGAGCGCGAGTAAGTGGTTTATTAGATTTCCAAGTGTTCCCGTCATTGGAACTTTTGACTGTTTTAATAGATTTGAGCACAGTACAGAATACCTCAATGAAATGAATGGTTCGTTTTCAATTACTCGTATTTTCACTTCCTTGTGGGAAGTTAAACAGGCTGAATCTTAAAAGAATGGAGATTCACATCAGTATTGGCCTGCAGAGCAGCCTTAATGAGCAAGTGCTCAGTATTTTCTAGCTGAAAATTTGATTTGCAATAGTGTAAGGCTAACAAGAGAAAGTAATCTGTTCTTAAGGGGTAAGCAGTGTTCAAAAGGAAGGAGAGGGGAGGGGTGCTGGAGCTCATCTATTCCTGCCCCCTCCCCACTGTCCACTTTAACTCTATATCAAACATGGCCATTTGGATGAGCAATTGTGAGATTGTAACACCTGCCCTTATAGGACACCTGTAACGCAAGCTTCATCAGTGTAAGCCTCAGTCAACAACATGTCATCCTATTATTTCTCCACATGTATAGAGACATTTCAATTGTTTCCTCTTTAAGGGAGAACTGCATACTTTACTTATGAAAACTTATTGAAGTGACACTATGTTGTATCCTCATTGACTTAAATAAATAAATATAACTCATATCTAGATATGAATAAGCCAGATAGAATCTGTCAATCACAAAACAGCAACAATAACTTGCCAACTTAGAACTTGGTTTTCAAAGAGAGCACATGGACTGCTCCTTGTGGAGGAGACTACTATATCTTCACTTGCCAAACTTGGATAGCTGAGCAGCTTTTATTATTGGTTGAAGCAGTGGAGAGGCAACATCTGCAAGAAATTATATTCAATAAGAATTGTATTGTTTTTTAAATTTTAGATTTTTTTAAATTTTAGCTTAATATCTTTGACTTATAGACTACATTATACTTATAATAACTACTATGCCATTTTACCATACTATGGCAACTGAACGCTCAAAATATGTAGCAGTTTTACAATGTGGAAGAAGGCAAAAATACAGATGAAAAGTGGAGCAACAAAATCAAATAAAAGGAGAACGATAAATCTCGTATTTTATGGTTAAACTCATAATACATTAGGATGAGGGAAAGTGGGGCAACTAAATGAAATAATAGTGGAATTATAATTCCTCTATTCAATTATGGTTTAACATGTAAAACAAGTGGACAATTTGCTTGTTGTTTGAATTTTTCCTTAACCTTAAAGGGCTGATGAAAATACCATACAACTCCCAAAAATATCCATGCATATTACCATGTCAAGCCATCAGATAAGGTGTATCTATTGACTAAGACTCTGATCAGTGTCTAGGCAATGTTTAGTTTTGTGGATGAAGGAAAGGCAGTAAATCCTAGGATAAAATTCTCAGAGTAAGGATGAGAAGCAACATCAAACTCAACCCTTATGTGGCCCAAGTCCAGTTATCAAAATCAAAGCCACAGCAGTGGAAGTTGAACATTCTCACCACTGTGCTATCCTCATCTTCCTGTGACAAGTCTGCTTGGTTGTAAAAATGTTAGTTATTGTGTCTGACAGAATAGTCCATTTTACAGTTGTGTGCTTGGTTGCCAAGCATTTGAACAGGAGTGAGCTAAGGGTGACCTTGCTATGATACAAACCTTGCTGCTCTTCATATGAAAATTACTTTGTTATCAATTTGCTAACTAGATAGTGGTCTCTATCACAACAAGGTCACCTTCAGCCTCACTCCAAATCAAAGGCTTGGTAACTCAGTACACAACTGTAAAATGGCGTTTTCTTTTCCAGGACTATTCTTACCTGGACAATCAGACATAATTTAAAAAATCATCATCATCATCATTATCATAATATTAAAAATAGAAATTAAAACATTAAATGATCATTTATCACTTACATGAGTCACAGCCATAGCACCACACACTCACATCACTGAAACTCAAAACCACTGGGTGTCCTGATTCAGAATTGTGATCCACCATGTGACAGTTGACATAACGACTGCAGAAGACAGAGGAGCATACGAGACATAACCAGTTCTCGCCAACATTACTGCATGTCCCACACGGCTTGGACAAGTCAACGTGGAGTGATGATATACTTGTTAATGACTATAAGAGAAAGACAAACAATTCAAACATCAATTTAATGTGAAGGTATCAAGAAGTGAGTTTTGCTGAGGAAATTTTGTTATCCTTGCATTGGCGAACAGTCAAACGTTACATTTTCTGTCGAGCTGAGTGGCCCATTCAGCCAGACCTCAGCCAGTTCCTAAGATATGAAACAACCACCAGTAAATTTTTTACCCTCCCAACATGTTATCCTACCCCCCTGTCTCACCCACTCCCCAGCCAGAAATTCACTAGCCTTCCTTGACAGTTCACCAATAACTTCATGTACTCCTCAGTCAGGGGTTTCAAAATGTTTCTAAATAGGCATCATACTCTCCAAAAGTAGGTGACTATAAAAATGGTCATTTAGACCAGAGGAATCCCCAACATGTTATCAAGTAGCTCGCAGAACTTTGGCAGTCACTGGCTCATCATATTTTTTTCCTGTGTGAAAAGATGCCACTTGCCACTCATGAAAATGATGTTGCACTCAGAAATAATGCAATGTAGGAGTGACCCCCAGAATATTCAGTCATGATCATGATCTGCTCACAGGCAACCACTGTGGCACACTGACTTCCAAGATTGACTGAAGGCTCTTGACCACTAGTCTTAGCCGATGTGAAGAAAGATAGAGACTTAAAATAAATTAAATTATTGATTGTCTGAGTTAAACAGCTGGACAAAATGCAAAATGTCAAATCTTAACAACTAATTGCGTTATATCAGAGGAATATTTGTTGAACGTAAAGTCACATAAGCTATATTTGAATATTTTTAGAGGGCAGATTTTGCCATGAGCTTCATCGGTTCTCCGTATCATCTCTGTTCCATCGATCCTCCCATTAAGACCAAACGACAGATTTACCCTGTTCGCAAACACGAACAGTAAACTGCGATAATCGAACTTACTCTATGAATATGTTTGGCATTGATGACATATTCTCGAGCAAGGGCGAGCGTTTCCGCTCGTTGAGACACGTTAATTTTTCACCAAACCGAACAAATAGAGATCGACGACTTAAAGCGCACGGTTCTAACTCTGTCAACCCTGAAGATTTCTGTGATCAGATCTTCGAAGCGCTTAACAAATATATAACGCTTTCAGTTCAAACCTGAACGTGCGGGCAGTCTCTCTTCGGTTCAACAGCAACGAATCCTGCTGCGTCTAACCCTCCTGCGTCTAACCCTCCTGTAGCCATGATCTTCGACCAGCTATATTAACTAAGTGCCAAAATTTTTGAAAACCGCACCTAAATCCGTGCCTTCTTCCTCAGGAGCCTGGGTAGAGCAGGTGAAAATTTCAGCCTCTGTATTTTCCTTACCCCAGACAAACAGATTACAGTTTTGATTTTCTTGGTTGTGCTTCCGATGTACTTTATCAAAATTTGAATAACCTTTCCACAGCGTGAACATTTGCCTACCCGGAAGTAAACATCGACTTTTGTGAAAATAACACAGAAGGGGTCTTGTAGATGATATTCACTGCTGACCAAATGTCTTTTGATACTGGAACGAGTCTCTGTCAAACAAGGCCGATATCACTGGGTACAAGAGTTAGTAGAAAGATGGCGGCCTTCCTTTAGGTAATTGAAATTTTGTGAAAAGGTTACTCTTGCCTGCTGACAGAATGGTCCGAATGAAAGTGATAAAATGTCCATCGGACAAATTGTCTTTAACAAATTGTCTTGTGGTGAACGAGAATGACTTCAGTCGCGACAGAGTCAAGTAAGTGTCGAGTTTGTGATTCTTGTGACGTGTAGTTTCTTCATGCGTGCCTGTATGATTTCTTTTGCCGATGTCAGCTAATATTTGTTTTCAAAAGGGAAAGATTTCGTTAAGATGGGGAATGTTCTGATTTCGATATAGTTTAAAGACAATGACATTTGAAATTACTAATGCTGGCTAAGATTAAATCTTCCTTAAAATTTTTTCTTCAAAACGAAAGTCGAAAGTGCGAGTAGAAACTAAGCGCGGAAATGTTATGTCCGCGAGATGGTACTAGTGTTAGCTTGGGATGTTCTGTAGTGATTAAATCGATATATTTTTACATTACGGTAGCCTTTTCCAGGAGGATCGAGTTTACAAAATTAATCTATTTAAGAAACATGTCACAATGTCTCAAGCTTTGGTCAAAGAAAAAAAATCTAAGTCTTCCCGGAGGAATGAAGTTAGAGACCTTCTGATGAGGATAGTAGACAAAGTCAATTTGATGGTTGTAGAAAGTAAAAACTTCTCAATTATTCTTCACTACTCTGTATTGAAATGACTGATGTTGTCTCAAAGTCACTTTCTACATGTATCAGATCAACTATTTCAATGTATCAAATTGACTTTGTTGTTGTTGTATTAAATTGACTTTAGTTTGTTTTGAATTGACTTGTATAGAAACAACTTTGAATCAAAACAACCATAGATCCCTCCCTGATATCACAATTGAATGCTCGATGGACTGATACTGAAAACTCTTTGGTGTGCTGTGGTAAAGATCTCCACATAACCCCACTGTATTCTAAAATAAAACCTCAGTCCTAAAGATAAAGTGCTGTATTCACCATTGATTTCCTCTGTCAAATAACTGTAAGCACAATTTGATGTATAGGGCTATATGGAAATCTTGGTGAGTTGTGCGTTATCACTGTACTCCAAAATCAGTTTATATATAACTTCCCTCTAGGATTTACATATAATCCAGTCATTTCAATTTATTTTTATTGTTTGAAATGGATCTTTTTTTTTTTTTTCTTCTTTTGTCAGACATGTTGAGGTTCGGACCAATGCTCCACAAGGCTACATCTTTACCATAGAAGTATCACAGGATGTTCCACAAGGTTCTGTAGGATTCAGTCTTGTCCAGGTAAATTACCTCACGAATATCTCTCAAGATGTACATTCAAACTCACATTACTGTTTGCTACATGTTTCTTAGGATCTTATCCCTGAGAATCATCTGTAAATGAAACATTATCGTCTTGTCAGTATTCCTCTTACTTCTCATTACCTTTCTATGGGAAAATTCTCTGTGTTTGCTCTGAGAAATTCCCCTCTGGTCAATCCTAAAAATGAAAGGGTTAAAAATTCAAACTAATTTTGAAAGAAATGGTTTTAAATGTCTCTCAGAGAGAGTTCAATACTAACAGTGTTGTATTTGTTTCATTTTTTCTGGTGGATTTGTCATTTTTGACATCTTTCAATCCCTGGGAAAAAAAATTCAATTTGATTTTTGTTTGCTTACCATATAATGCATTTAGAATAATATTATTTCTTCCATTAGCTGAAGGACAAAGTTGATTTTATTTTGAGATTTATGACTTTGAATTTTACTTTACTACAATTTCAGAGAAAGTGGACCAATGTAGCGCTTAACAGTATCATAGATGGTAAGACATCACTGAGACATCCTCTCACTACTTCACAGTTGTCATTAGAAGCTGGTAGCTAGATACTTTTTGAGTTGTGATCAAAGACAGAAAAAAATATATTTTTAAGCTGATTCTGACATTAATGTCTGGCTAGAAAAATTTACTCAAATAATATTATTTCCTGCTATGCTTTAAATCATATCTCAGAGAGTCTTGAATTCAAAATGTTTCCAGGGGAGTTGTAATCCCTAGAGCCCCTTTGAAGGACTTGTTGCTTTGCAACATGCCATGCTTGATACCCAAGCATAATTTCATTTCAGCTGAGTACTAAGTTCAGATTATACATCTTCTAATGACAACCCTGCTGCCTCACCTGTAATATAATTATTTACTTACATGTAGATGTGCATCCCACTGAATTTTCTTGAACGGAGGCACACAGGGATATTACAAAGATTTCGAATATTTTCAGAACAGGATATTTTTTCGACTGGAGCAGAAGTAAAGAACTTTCATATACTTACTCTTATATTCAATCTTTGCCTTAAATTGATGTATGGAGTACTAAAGGAAAATCATCAGATCTGTGAGAAGTGGTCAAGAGAGTGGAATTTTTACAAACTCAAGCCTCTGATTTTAAAACCTGTTTCACTATATTATCACTTGGGTTGAAAGATGAAAATGTATTTATTTTAGTCTGTTAATATCTTTTCTAGTTGTTCCATACAGATTTGGTGAAGGATCATACCTGTCAAATATTACTTTTGAAGCAGATTTTCTTCAGAAGGCCAAGTAAATATTCCTGTTAACTATGATTATTACATCAAGAACATTATGTACATCCATGTCGATTATTCTACTTGTTTCTCGTGTGGAGGATTTTAAATATCTCTTACTTTAACTAATTGCAAGGTGAGTACTGTTTGTTAAGAACCAATTTTTTTTTTGCTCTGATTTATGGCCCAAGTGCAAAACATGTGGGCTTTAAATGAGAGCGAAAACATACAAGGTTCTGTAACATACAGTATGGACCGAGAAAACCAGGTTAGTGAGATGTTTCTTGTATCTCTGGGTTCAAGTACAGCAGGAAGATATCAGTTCAACAAAATTTTAAATTTAGTAAGCTGTGCAGTGAAATATGACCTGCACTTAGAGCAGTTGGAAGATAAGCAGAGGGAATTATTCTTAAACCCTTCTTATCCCCTTAGAGTGACTGGTATCTGATTTCTCCTTTTTATATCACCCCTGAAGCAAACATTATGGTCAGGAGAATAAAGGAATTGATCACCTACTGAAGTTCCTCTTGATTGTTAAACAAATTCTCCTTGTCAGCACCTTAGGAAATGTTTAGAGAACAGTATGGAGAATATGCATACTGATGTTAGGGTGTAAAGGGTTAAGTTAGATAACAAAGCAGTAGCATGGCTTGAATTGCTTGTGGAACTGCTTGTGTCTCATGAGCCCAGACACCATGCTAGATTGAATGCACCTGTTAAACTAAACTGTCGTGTTATACTGTTGTTACAGACTTGTAACATGTACATGTTTTGCAGTGTTTTCATCTTGGTCCTCTTTGTGGCCTAGGATAGCTGACTTGTGCAAATATTAAAATTTTATCCAGCGATAATATCTTTTGTTCTACATTAACCTTTTAAATCCCAGAAATAACCACCATGTATTTTCTCCCTAAAATATTTTATCCAGCAAACATGTTATAATGCGAATGATCAAAATTATGAGGTGGAAGCTTTTATTGTAAAAACAGGATGGAAAATGTGGTGAAACAATTGTTTCATCCATAAGCAGTACATTGTGGATTGTATTAATATTTATTAATACAATCCATATGTCATAAATGGAAATGATTGATAGGCACCCCTACCGTTCCCATATCCCATATCATTCCTAGTATGGATTTTAGTGAAATACGTATCTCTCCCATAGAGAAGGCAATGGAAAGGCAATACATGGCAATATGTGGGTTTCATATGGCCATATCAATGCTATATAAAACCCAGATATGGCCCATAGATTATCCCATATCACATTCATACATGGTCCACACCTGTCCCATATCACCTGGTTTTTAAGGGATGAAGCACTTGAAAAGTTTGGAGAGCTCTTAAGAAGCTATTGATAGCTGCTCTGTAACCTATCTAGGGAGTATTCCAAGTTTCCTGTAAGCTTCCTGACTTGATGAAGGCTTCCTGACACAAAAACTTGTAATTGTTAACCCTCAAACTCCCAAGATCTGATTGTTGATTCTCCCCTCTACACATTTCCTTGTGAATTAATGGTGAAAATTTGGTGCTACGTGTAGATCAAGATAACAACTTGAATATTCTCATTACCTGTTTACTGGATGGTGTATGGATGTTATAGGGAGAAGTTACATATTAATCACCTCTGGAGGTTGAAAGGTTCAGTGTTGTTCATCTTTTCTTGCACTAGGGGTAACCAAGATGCCTATGATACAAACAAAATGGCAGAGGAATTTACACACTTATTTTATGACCGGGCTTTTTCTGTTGGTCAGCAGGTAGATGGCATTTAGTCTGAGGCTGTGATTTAATAATTTAATGAAGCACACAGTAAATATTACAAGGATTTCAAAACAAGCCAGTAACTGCAGAGTTTTGTCCTGAAGTTACTTGATAACATGTTGCTGTTTACTCTGCTCAAAATAATTACCTTTTGGCCCCTGAAAAACTTTTGACAGTCACCAAATTTTGCTAAGTCTGATGCCTACTTTAAATATTTTGATACCCCTGAATTCCTTTTTATAATTATTTACTAGTTAACCAGTCAGTATGTGAAAATAATATTCTGTGTATACACTAAGTATAATACCACAGGGGTGAAAAGTGTTATGGGCTGCTGGTCAGAAAGTAGTAAGTAAGTATTATTCACCATCAAGCCACAAAGGGAATAAAATTGCATGTCAAGAGTTAAATCTCTGACCATTTGGCTGTTTATTGACAGAAATAACCTAATTTTATTGGTTTCTGTGTGGTATATGCTTAGAGGTGTGTTAATCTCTGTCAATGTTAGTGATAGTGGTTGTTATTTACCTTCAAAAACTGATGTTTGGCAGCTCACATTACCTCAGCTCTGATGAAAAATTATCAATTATTTTAGTTCTGTTCTTGTGTTTCTTTTATTGTTAATTTTGATTGTGACAATTGTTTACTGATGACAATTTTTATGATAAAACAGGCTGTATTTTCTTTTCAAGACAAGAAATACCTCATTCTTGTTGTAAAAAGTATGGAAGGTGAGTGGAATTATCTATGATTGGTCTTATTCATCAGTCTGTATTTTTCTTCTAATTCATTTTATCCCTCAGAGGAATGTTGGTGATACTGGAGGTCACATAACATTCCAGCTTCCACCAGAATTTATTGGTTAAAGTGTAATGGCCCTTTGTCTTACTTACATGTAGGATTTTCTCTGTTACTTTACACTTATCTCCTGCAACAAGATTTCTTGGTGAAACTTAGTTTTCATCCTAAGAGATCTAGGAGAAATAAATGGATGAGAGGAAATTAAATTTTCTGATTCACTTCAGCTTGGAAAGTTTATTTCTTCTCCTTGTTATAAGGAGAAGAAATTTGTGAATTCCATGGAGATACAACGGACCAGTCTTTTATTCACAGTGAATCTCTGATTATTGAATTTTTTTCAATTTGATCGAACCTTGCTTGATTTTTTTCTTTTTTTTTCAAGTTATTGATGTCAGTCTTCTTGGTGGGGCCAAGAATAATGCTTCTCAAGGAACAAATGTATGTACTTTATGGTGCTGTCACATAGATGTCCCAGACATTTTTTATGTGATATACTCTTTTTAAAGTAGGACATGAATTTGCACAGTTCCATAATGGTTGTCGTTATGTGACCTGCACTTGCCTGTTTGAAATGTAATTGAAAAAAAAATTGAAATTGTAATTGAAAAACATGAGGCATAAATCTCCATATGAGGGCCATACAGTACTTAACAGCACAAGCAGGACCAGGGGAACAAAAAAACACTTGTGATGGAGTGGCTATTGACTGACTGTGGCCAGGTCAGCTGGGTTACTATTTGGTTTCCAGTTATGATGCACAGGCTTTGCTCTGCTTGGTCCATTTATAATGACCCAGAGCCAAATATTTTCCTTTGTTGCCCTTCCATGCAGTCAAAAGTATCTAATTATTATTCAAACAAATAGCAACCAGGGTGTTTACTGTGTATAAGAGATTTGGAAATTCTCTGGTTAATACTCAGTACTCTTTGGCTAAATTTTGATGGCCCACGCTATCTTTTTGTTTCCATTGGCACCCATACTTTCCTGCTCCTTCATTCTTAAACCCTTTCTCTCCCATGTTCTCATTAGAAATTCTCCTTAATGTCTGTGCTAACAATTCCTATGATTTTGGATCAGAGAATTTGGTATCAGATCAACTAATAATCCTCTGATCAGTACTCTTCTTTATTTTCATCTCTTGTCAGTCTGCTTTATATTGTTATGACAATGTATGAGACAAATTTTGTCTTGGTCACTAATAGGAATTAGAGGATAATGAAAACAATGAATGACCTACATCAACTTGAGGTGTATATGCAACCTGATTTGCGACCCGTATCAGTGTACTATACATTTTTTGCTTCTCCATACCATAGGTTGATATGGGTCTCATTACAAGTAATACCCATGTGCTTTTTGAAAGAGCAGAGGTAATATGAAATATTTATGGATATCATTTATAACATAACTAGAGCTAAATTATGACATTTGTCAATTTTACAGCATTTTCTTTTTCCTTATTTAACCTATGATTTATAAGTAATATTGTGGTTTTTAATAAAATCTCTATCGAAGTCCACAATGCAATTCAGCCTTTAAACCAGTTACCTGTATCATCTTGTTTCTGACATCAACTTGCAAGCCAGTCTGTCAAGGTCTGCATAGGTTCAGTGAGTCATCAACATATCACCTTGCTATTTACTAGTTAGCTGAGGCAGGGTGATGTACATTGTACCACAGATGAGAGAACTTTTGCAAATTACAATGAAATGGTGCATGCAGGTTAAGTACAGTTAGTGTAGTTAAACACTGAAAGTTATATAAATATTGAAGTTTAAACTGAATTAAATCTAGTTAGGTTTGCCCTTCTCTTTGTTTAAAGACTATCAGTGACGATATACCCAGAGAAAATGGAGGAAAGAAGGGATTTTGACCTGTAACATGAATTTAATGTCTTCTCTTTTAGGGTTCCATGTTGAATCTGACAGGGACAGCCAAAGGGTAAGAGCAGATAGCACTGTTGAGTGACACTTCAAAATACATTTACATGACGTACCATTGAGCAATAATAGTAGAGACCATGACATTCACCATAACCTGTCATCCTCTTTAGAGTGATGAGTGATTATCATCTAGTTTCTCCCCACAGTATCGACTCTAAATCAAGCATTATGGTCATGAGAAGAAAGGAAATGATCACCAGCTTAAGAAATTCTTAATTGTTAAGCATACGCTCCTTGTTATTTCCTTAGGAAACATGTAGGAAACAGTGAGGAGAATATGCTCACTGAAGTTCGGATTTAGAGGGTTTATATTGGTCCAAATTGTCCTTAACTATTTTACCAGGGATGCAGTCACACTGTAGAAGGGAGAAGTGCTGAACTAGTTAACCCTTTAAATCCCATGGGTGACCAAGACAAAATTTCTCCTTACAATATCAACACAATATCAACCAGATAAGTGATGAGAATATAGAAAAATATCAATTTGGGGATAATGAGTTGATCCAATAATAAATTATCTGAACTAATATTATAAGTGTTGTATTGTTGACATTGAGGAGAATTACAAATTTGATCTGGGAGTTAAAGGTTAAACAGAACTAGAGATGTGAAGGTTTTTTAGCGAGGATGACATTTCTAAGTTTTAATTTATACTTTTGGAGTATGTAGGGATATTATTTTTATTGTTTGATTTTCAGAAAAGCAGCAACACAGTCCATTATCAGTAGAGACTGGGACTTCACAAAGCTGGGAATTGGAGGCCTTGACAAGGTGTGTTTTCCCACTTTTAATGTCTATGGAAATAATTTGTTGCATTCAACTGGTACCCAACAAAATATCAAGTTGCATACGATAAAGAAGCTACGATCTGTTGTAAACACAGTGTGGCTACAACCCTCTCACTTCAGGGGTGACCTATAGTTCATTTCCCCTCACCATATCACCACACTGCCAAGCGGAAGGTTGATGAGCAGACAGAAAAAAAAAACGTCGGTTAGGGAGTATTGTCGGATTTGATACCAACTTCTCAGAGCTAGAGTGATAGAAAATGTCTGGCAGACAGTAAAGAGAATTTGTATTTAGATCTTTGGAGTCAAGGGGTACATGCTACTTGTAGTCAACACTTATTTCCTATAAAATGCTTGATAACAGTTTGTTTTGCTTTCCTTCCACCTGGCAACGCTGTACACCTGTATTTTCAGTCATTTTGTTCTTTTGCAAACAGGAATTCTCTAACATCATAAGAAGAGCTTTTGCCACAAGGCTTTTCCCCCCAGAAGTCGTGGACAAATTAGGTGAGAATACCAAGAGCTTTAGATGTAATAAGTAAAAGGATGATGAAGTTTCTCCGTACAATATCAGCCCTGAATCACTGATTAAAGTCATGACTCTTAAACAAATTCTCCTTCTCGGCACCCAAGGAAATGGGAAGAGAACAGTCTGGAGAATATGCATACTGATCTTAGGGTATAAGGGGTTAAAACCTCGTAAATCAGTCAAGAGTCCAACACGTACGGCAGGATCCGCGAGAGGAGTGCATTAATTTGGGGGGAGGGGGGAAGGGTGGGGTATGGATTGTAGCACTATGAAACTGTGTGAATTGTTAGCGTGAGTGAACATTCAACGGTCGCACGGAAAATAAATACCAGGCTTTGTTGTTCAATGCGCGGATAACGCTATCCAGTGGACAGCGGTATTCAGCCAACGATCAATCAATGTCAAGGAAATAACCAATAGCGAGATTCACGTTGCGACCTTTTATTATTTTTGTTCAGGACTTCGGCATGTCAAGGGTATTCTGCTACATGGACCGCCAGGTATTTCTAACAGATATTTCTTGTGTATATGCTGTCACACTGTGGAAAATCAAAAACTCGAGCACCTATAAGCGTGTTTGATTTTTAGGAGATTGATGCTCGTAATGGCTGCTGCTTGATTTGAATTCTTTATCATTAAACGACTTTATATCGCTAGAATCCTTATTGGGTGAAATTCAAACGTTTCTCAATGGTTTCGCCAGTGATTGATTATTCTGGGGTTTGACCAGTAAGAAGTTTAATTTATAAGTACCGTAGTAACTAACTGCGGAACTTGGCAAATTCAGGAACTGGAAAAACGCTGATGGCTCGGCAAATTGGCAAGATGTTAAACACAAGGGAACCTAAGATTATCAGTGGACCAGGTGAAGTATCTTATATAGTGGCTAATTGATACTCTCGACCAACTTGTGTTACAACTATAAGAAGTCTTGATTTAGTAATTAAATTGCGTTTTCCCTCGCTCATTAAACACCTTGTTCCATTTTCCATTTTTTCATTTTTCCATTTTCCTATTTTCTCATTTTCTTCTGATTGGCTCTCTTCATTATTCAAATCCAAATGAGGTCTACCTACAAGCTCTGACTTAACCTGACGATCTTGTTTCAGAGGTTCTCAATAAATACGTTGGAGAATCGGAAGCCAATATCAGGTGAGAAAAGAGCAGAGACCTTGACATTGTAATGTGCATTCTAGGAGTCGTTCTCTGCGACTTGCAAAACAAGAACACTAAGAACACCAAAGTAAAGAGAATTAATTAAAGAGGATCTGGGATAGTTGAAGATGGGAAAGATTAGTAAAGATTACAAAATGCCAATGTGATAATGAATGGACCAAGGTTTTCAAGATGCGCAGGCATTAGCGCTTTTACCGACAGAAAAGGACTGTAAGCGGCCAGAACGGCAACGCCAGGAAGACATCGACTGAAAAATGAAGTTATCCTTTTGTCGGAATTTCTCGAGTAGCCGTATGTGTTTACCAAACATGTGAAATTTCAATACTCGCGTCGCAGATGAACAGTTCGCACATGTGGTGTAACGAAACTGTAACCCAGTCACCATGAAATAACTAAGCTTGTTCATATTTTATTTACAGAAAGCTATTTGCAGAGGCTGAAGAGGAACAGAAAAAGGTACAGTGCCGTTGCAACTGCTTTCCAAGCTCTTGGCTTTTCTTCTAAAACTTCCATGACGGTTTTGCGGTAATTAAGATTGTGGGTTCCTTTATGGACTATTTCGTAAATGAGTGTTCTCCAGTTTAATAACGAAGAGCATTCTGTAGAAAAATAGGAATTGGTTGGGGTTCAATGCACCCAAAGGACTCGGGGACGGGATTGTTTCTTACAAAAGTTTCAGGCAATTATGAGGTTTCTTTTGCCCGAGTTAAATGATTAGGCAAAGGATGAAACAGAAGTCGTCGGCTTGGGCATATAAGTAGAGGTTGAGAGCCTTTTCTTCCGATGAGAAATTTCATGTTAGGAATTGGTATTTTTTCGTGTACCGAGAAAGCACAGGGTTCCCGATAGGATCAAGAGTAACTGTCAAAGTTCCCATTATCCGTGGGCTGCTCCAGCGTAAGAGAAAGTATAATCTTAGGGAGCGGTTAACAACCATCCCCTAGGGCCGGTGTTTTGAAGGTTTTTTTTTTTTTCCGGGGGGAGGGTGTTATCAAATGGTTTTCAGGGAGAACGTAGGGGAGATCAGCCGTCGCCAACAGAGTATAAAGGAGAAACTATAGAAACTTGACTGCCAGTTAACTGCCAATGAGGGGGAGGGTGGAGGGGGGGTCATAATATTGTCACGGAGCCTTATGAGGAATCAGGTAAATTTTGTTTTTCTCCCCCTCACCCTCAGGTAATAGATAATGACGGGTCTCTCTCAACCAACTGTGAGACAGGGGAGCGACAAAGTTACCTAAGGGGACTTCTGTTCCGTATTTGTGTTATCCTTGCAGTTTGGTGATAACAGCGGACTTCATCTTATAATCTTTGACGAGTTTGATGCAGTTTGCAAGTCAAGGTACATGTACAATGTAAGTACTAGTATCTTTTCAACTATTTCTATTTGTTATCGATGGCTGCTCCTGTTTCTTAGGACAGAAAAGACCGAGCCTTGTTAAATATGTGAGACATTTTTAACTAGGCTAGATGCGCTATTAGTATATACCACCGGTGTAAATAGTGCTTTTTGTGCTTGCTGATCGGCCAGTTCGGAAGTGATTAGCAAGTACTATTCGCCTCTGAGCTGTCGAATAGACAAGCCCGTGCATGAGGAGCTTGATTTCCGACCATTTTTCGATATATTGACATAACTAAAGATATATTTGTTTCTATATGGTATGTGCTAAAATAATTAGTCAACTCCATATCAGAGGAGGAGGTGGATATTTACCTCCACTTTGGTGAATAAATGTTATAAGTAATAATAGGAGTCATCAAGCTAAAAGCAGAATAACCGCAACAGTCAATCAGAACAAAGGGGATTATGACAAGTGCCTAATGAGAACTCAAAGTGAAAACAATCAAACCGCCCGAAACGCGGGAAAATGCCCTTCAACATATCGCAATTTCTCTTGGTTTTGCATCTGATTGGTTGAAAGGGTAGAGTGAGTTTTCTTAATCAATTACAGTAAAAAAATTGCTGTGTTACATTTAAGTTCATTTTTTAATATTCTTACTTTAGAGCGGAGGCACTGGAGTGCAGGACTCAGTTGTAAATCAACTTCTTGCAAAGGTGAGTAGATTTTGATGTCTCTCAATAAAATTCTTCAGAAACAGATTTTCTCAAAAGCACACTAATTCATGTGCCCCATAGATTCTTTACGTCCTGATATACGAGATTTTCCCCCCAAAAGAGTGAGTGCGCAAAACAGGCTTAGGCGGGAATGATTTGATAGACTTAGAATGCTCGAGTATCTGAGGAATCTCGACATGATATGACTGTGGATGGAGGCCATCTACAATTAACAATTTTTCTGTTTGTTGCGGTTCTCACAATAATAAACAGGAAGCCAAAAAAAACAAAATACAATTAAGGTTCAGTTATATGTATCAGCTTCGTGATCGTTAAGTGTACAGGTCGTTGTATAAAAATCGATGCTCTCTCCGTTGTATTCTTTTCCCTATGTTAACTAGTAATTTTGCTTTAGATTGATGGTGTGGAACAACTTAATAACGTTCTTCTCATTGGTAAGTTTCGTTAATCTCATTCATGGACGCTATGCAAGTGATGTTTATCCTTTAAAGATTTCTCCCCGTCTCTCCCCTCCCTCAGGTACCTGGACTGTACCTACGTCTCTTTTCGCACAGCCATTTCCAATCTTCTACATAAGACATAAGACATAAGACATAAGACTCAAGACAAAAGACAAAAGACGTAACACGTAACACGTAACACGTGACACATGAGTCATAAGTCTTCTACATGAGACGTTTATATTTGATAATTTCACTTGCCAAGGCAGTCATTATAAACTACAGACACTTATGTCTGCTTATCGGGAGGATATATTTGACGTTTTATTGTTTCATTGCTCAAGGCATGACAAACAGAAGAGATCTCATCGATGATGCCTTACTCAGACCTGGACGACTTGAGGTTCAAGTTGAGATTGGTAAGTATGTTACAACGATCTTCATTCAAGTGCACTGCAGCTGTATCCTGTGGAACAAAGGCATCCTACAGTTGTGATGGATCCTCTTTACGTTTCCGTTTGACACTCTACCGCTCATGCATGAACCACGAGGCTACGTCAAACATGCCCTCTGCCTTCCAAGCTCTGTTCACGAGCAACAATGAATTTAGTAAACCGAAAACGGGACAGTAACGGAAAGGACGTTAACAATAATAGTCAGATTTTAGAAAAACTCGGAATCCATCCACCCTCCCATGGAGTAAACTGAAAAAAAAAAAATTCAATCTTAAATACGACATTTTCAAGTTCTAAGACGCTAACCTGGTACTTTCGGGATGAGATCACGTGAGAAACTTTGTGGAAAAGAATCAAATTTGTCTGAGAATTGACATCGTTTTCCAAGACCTTGCACTCAATCTCAATTTGGAAAAGAAGCTGTGAGTATCTCATATGTGTTCTTTTACTGAGTGAAAATGCTTTTAGAGTTGCGCGATAGATGTCTACAATAGTCACCTCAAAACGTTGTTTCAGCATGAGTTGGTTCTTCTTCAGGCCTACCAGACGAACAAGGACGCGTACAAATCCTGGAGATTCACACAGCAAAGATGCGAGAACACAAGTTACTGGCAGCAGATGTCGACCTGGCTGATTTGGCCGTCCAAACAAAGAACTTCACCGGGGCAGAGATTGAGGGACTGGTGCGAGCGGCACAGTCCACTGCCATGAACCGCTTCATTCAGGTACTGTAAGCGACTTTTCGTAGATAGTTTTTGTGCGGTGAGAATTCAGTAGAGACTTATGCAACGAACTGGCTTCAGCAAGCAATGCATCGTGGACTAGGTTTTATCATAAAACTGACTTATCACAAAAGTCTATGACTTAAGGAAAGATTCCACTACTTTCCCAAACAAAGCATGCCCAAACGAGGGCCAACCGCTGATAGACACGACAGCAATGTCGATCGGTAAACTTCCAGGGACATTATTGGAGATAATTATCCTTTTTCCTTCATTTCACAGCTCAAGAATAATTTCGAGATCGATCCTGAAGCAGCTGAGAAGATAGTTGTGAAGCATGAAG